TAATTTGATTGACCTCATAACAATTTTTTTAAAAATAAATCTAAAATACCCTTTTTTTCTTTCTAGAATGACTTCAAATTGTAACATGAAATTACATTTGTTCAACCTAAGTAGATTTAAACTTTTAGCAGTATACATCTATTTATACTTAAATGTTATTGTTTTATTGCCATTTGAACCATGTCTAACCACTATTCGTGCCATTATATGTTGTAACTCACTTGGGGAATGTGTGGTTCACTTTATGCTATCAAATTACATTACCCACGAACTACTCCTCCATGCCTTGTGAAAATTTTGTTTACTATTTATTTTACTTAATGTAACCTTAACTAACCTAAAGAGTTTTCTATTTCTAAATTCTTTTTTTTTCTGTTAACTGTCAATGACACTTAACCTTACTTTTTTATATTAATGGTAGTAGTAAACTAAATAATTTTTATTTAATTAAGTAATTCACCAGAGAACATAGAATAATAACATGCAAAAAGCAGACAATGTCCCATAACTATCACAATTTTTCTGGCTTCCTAACTGTGAGAAGAGTCATTATAAATACATCCAAGCTACTAAACATGTTTCTTGTGGGAACAAAGCTTGTACTGGAAGAGAAATAGACAATTATCTATGCAGAAAATAACATAATTCGTCACTTGAAAGATGAAAACCTTGGCTTTCTATTGGTTATAAATGATATAGTATTAAACGTAATAGATCACTATTGACAAATCCTGAAAGAGAAGATGTGTGGCAAACGGGGTCTGATGTTCTATTTGATGGCTCTGTAACCAAACAAGATCGAAGGCTATAAAAATTATGGTTTGTCTGAGCAATGACGATATCATAGTAAGTAATTTACATTAAATTTTGTACTTATTAGAGGGGTGGTGAATAAATTAGAGAAGGTAGGATGTCTAGAAAAAAAATGTTACATTTCTCACACTAGGAGAAATTCAGGATTTTTCACGAACCATATTCTATTTCTCCTCACAAGCAGGTTAGGTTACTAAACTATCATGAAGCTAAAGCTTTAAAAGTAGCTCACGTGTACTAACACTTGAGGCAGTGCAGGATTACAATATTCCTGACAAAATTTGCACAAGTGTAGCAAAAGGAATGGCCATTTGACCCAATTGCAAGTTCGCATTTCACTTTGGTTTTTGCAAGATTATCTCCCCTTTTGAGACAATGAACTATTACTTTTACACATTTTCTCCATTGAGTTAGATATGTACCATTTCTGTTTTGGGGTGACTGTTTTTCTTTGTAGTAATGGGATTTTCCTTAACACCTGGCTGTAGTTGGTGCATATATTTTACAGCGTACAAATAATGTGAACTGTACTGCTTAGTGCATGCATTGTATTTCAATACACTGGTAACATAGGTTTATGAGTTTGCACTTGCAGAAAGGTGATTTATAAAACTGCAAGTAAAAGACATCTTTTCTGTCTTCCAGTGTAAATTTGAGTCTTTTTTGTGATATGTGGATGATCAGTTGAATGGATCATCATTTGTGTAAAAAATTTTATACCCTGTGAAGGACTACACATGTCAACACCCAGGTATTTATAATGGTATGCTACCTAATGAATTTCTGCCAGCAAGAAGAATTACTGGGGTACACTGTTTTGGTACACGTGCAGATTTGTTTAGTCTGCTAGCATAATAGTGTACTGTGAAATTCCCATCTTGGTCCAGATTCCTTCTTTTTCTGCTCTATTCCTACTCTCTTGCTCCTACTACATCTCTCTAACCTTTACCAGGGGTGTTGTCCCTTCTTATTCCTGGACCTTCTGATCGTGTTATCATTTTTTGTCCCTTTCCTGTTATCCATCAACTCTGTTTGTCTATCTCCTGTAGTGTCAGGTTTTGTGATGTTGGTCCATCTGCCTCTCCCTTACTCTGGGCCATCCTATCATGATCCACCTTTCAGCCTTTTTCACATGGTTTGACCATTGATTGCCTGTTTCCCCTATTGCTGGTTTTGGGTCAGCTTTTTCTCCAACATTTTACCCTTCCCATTGCTGTCTAATTTTTTTTGTCCTCTCCTCTTTGTTTCGATCCCTCTTCCTTCAACGGCCCCTTTGTCCTACTCTTATGTCTGACTGGGACTTTGATGTGGTTGTAAATGCTCTTCCACGGACTCCATTTGAGCTGTTGATTTCATTTTCTTTATTCAATATCTCTCTGAAAATATAATTTCTTCTTTTTTTCTATGCCGGTATATACATCTGAATGACAGCAATCTATGCTTCTTGTACTCTCATTCACTGTACTTCCTCCTTTATCCACACCAGACCTTTCTACCTCATACTTGGGTGCCTGGGAGGATGATTGTTCTTTAACTGTTTCATTCTCATCTTCATTGACCCTTGGATGAGATCCTTCAGGCTAGTGTGTGGATGAACCTGCATATGTCCATCTCCCTTTACTTTTACCTTTGTCATCTCTCTGTTTCATTTCCTGCAGGATTTGAGCTCCTTCTAGCCACAGTTATTCCATATAGCTACATACTCATACCATCTTAGAGAGGGGTAAGTATATATTTCTTTTTTAGTGCCCTTTCAACCTTTATTGGATCACACCAAGTGGCTGGTGTTACTTCCCAGGGTATGCTTATATCCCAAAATCTTCATTGGGCCAAGGATCCCAGCAAACACTCAACCCACCTGCCTAGACTCTACTAGTGCCCAATGTTAAGATGGAGTATTTTGCAAACCACTTGAAGTATCCTTGTGATATTCATGCTACTCAATTGCCCAATCCATATCATTCCATGGACTATTATGGAAAAAGCCAGCACTGGGTTTTGTGATCACCTATTTCACTGTCTCCTTGAAAATATCTTTTCAGGAGGCATCTGATGGGTATCTGGACACTATTTTGGGTTCCTCAGAGCAAATCCTTGCCACCTTCTTCAAGTGAAGCACAAGAGACCGTTGTCACTTTCCAGTTCCTAGCCACTGAGGTAGTGGACCTAGGAGAGTTCCCCATTGGTGCACATCACAGGTAGGAAGTAGGACAGTGTTGCTAATGTCTGTATAGTGCAGGTCACTCGTCAAACAACTAGTGTGCCTTCCTCCTGCAGCAAGGGTCTGTCCAGTTGAGTTGAGGTGACCACACACAGTATGATCTGATCATGCCCTATCCACATTACACATCTTGGCTCTCTAACCACGTGTGTACAGGTGCCTGGTTGAGCATGATCTAATTTTGCCCATCCCTGCAACTCTTTTGCTTTTCTATCTTCTTTCCTTCTGGGCAAAGAGTATATCCTAGTTGAGATGAGATGTATTTTACCATGGTTGTGCCTGTATCGAGACCCCTGCCATCGAGTGTCACACTCTATGGGTCTTCTCTTCAGGTGCTTTCTGAGGGGAGCTCATCCAGGTTTAATTTTTGTACTGGCTGCTCCACCATATCAGTGTAGGAATTTAGCTAATCTGTGTGTGTGAAAGTGAGGCATTGTCTCTGAAGTTAAAACTTTCCTAATCTGAAAATTATTTCAATAGACACTCACCTCTACAAACCTTTCCACCCATCCTCTTCACTTTTGATGCATTTTCTTCTTGCTTCATCTAAGAATAAAGTTATTTTGATTGCAAATGCTTGAGGGAAGTTACTACACAAGGAGGTTCTGTTGCCCTCCTATTGGTGGAGGGCTATTATGTCATGAGGATGTCATCATGCATTAGCACCATTGTTGTTAAACACACAATATTTGATGGGAGTTAGGTCAAGGTTAGTGGCATACAAATCTTTTAGGCAGATGTGTGAAGAATGAAGCTATTCTGTGTGTGGAGGTATCTATCAAAAAGATATTTCAGGTAAGGAAAATGTAAACATTTCAATTTTTGTCACACTTAAATCTCAGTTGGTACTTTCACAAATTAGCTTTTACATCAACCATTATCCAAGAAATGGTGTGTCATTTCATGGTATTTTTATTGTGATTTGAAATTTTTTTTATCAGCTTTATGCATATTTAGATGAAATATTCACAATATATGTGTGTGTGTTTATATATATATATATATATATATATATATAA